AGATGATCCATAAGCACAAACACATAATATCATCGTATAAGTGAAGTATAATGAATTCAAAGAAACAAATCAAAACAAGATTTTTGACAAAATGCAAGAGAGGCAATAATTTATCAAGCTCTTAAGCTTGTAACAACCCATATAAGGACTTTTAGTACCCGGTAAATATGATTTAGGAATAAACACCTAATAAACCTGGAGGGTTATATAAATACAAACCTCTCATCAAAACAAAACCAATAATTATGAAAACAAAAGAATTTGACCAATAAAAGGAGTTGTTTTCATAAAAGTTTAAAATACATTTTTCAAAACCAAGAAAAAGAAAAATAAAAGTACTAAAATTCTTGGCTTAAAAATTATTTTGGCAACCAAGTATTCTTGGTGCTGATTTATTTAGGGACATGACCCATATCATTAAGTCTCAAAGCCCTAGGGTTATGAACCCTCTTGGGCACATATAGTGCACTAACACGGTCAAAACAAAAATTATACACATGACCTTTCCGATTGCAATAGGTGCAATCAAGAGGTTTAAATGATTTGTGTTGACCAAGTGGGCATGCACGAGAATCATTTGCAAATAAAGATTTTTCTTTTAAATTATATCGCAAATGAGAAACATCTTTAAACAAAGGTGGTTTACTTGAGAAATTTGGCAAGTTTGAATATTTTTTTAAATCATAACAAAACTTCGCCAAATGGCCAAATCTACCACAAACATCACATTTTAAAATATGTGGTCTATTAGAAACATTTGGCAAACTTGAATTCTTTTTCAAATCAAAGCAAAAGTTTGCCAAATGGTCAAAATGACCACAATAATTACATTGATACACACTAGCATGCTTATGATGAACATTATGTGCACGTGCATGAGTGTGTGATGAAGAAGCTTGATGAGATGCACAAGGAACATTTGATTTTATAGGTTTATGTGCATCATAGCAAAATTTAGACAATGGCCATTACGATCACAAATAGTGCATTTATAAACTTTGCTATATATGTGTGCATAATGAGTGGATGATTTAGACTCAGATTTGGCACACATATTCATAAGCTTCTTATGATTATTAATGCATGAAGTTAATGTTGAATCTAAAGATGATATGCTATTTTTGACAAGATTCAACTCAACATTAGGCACGACATCATTGATAATAGAAGTAGAGCATGTATGGTTATCAAATTCATTTCTAATGCATTCTACTTCTAGCATGGCATCTTTATTAGCATGAGTTAAGCTAGAAATGGATGAAGTCAAATTTTTATTTTCTAATTTTAACATATCATTAATTTCTTTAAGAGCAATATTTTCTTGAGAAATGATATCAAAATTGGAAACTAGTATCTCATGATCGAATTTCAAATCTACATGCTTGCTTTTTAGATCTATAAAAATTATTTTGCAATTTTGTATAGGCATGAGACAATCTTTCATATGCACAAGCGAGTTCATCAATAAAATCATTTTCAGAATCGAAAACACTTACTACACAAGAGTTATCCTCTTATGGCCGTGTGCATGATGCTCCATATGAACTTGAAGAAGAATCCTCTAAAGCTTGTCAGATTGCCTCCAAATCCCCTTGATGTGCTTCAATAAATTTCTAAAGTTTGTAAGCACTATCAAAATGAACAAATTTGTTAGAAAAGGATGAGTTAAAAGCATTAAGCAAAAATTCTAACAAAAACTTGTTCATTATAAACATTTTCTTATCATGATTGTTCCACTTGGATTTCTCCAATGTGGGCACAATATAACTTGTTCATTATAAACATTTTCTTATCATGATTGTTCCACTTGGATTTCTCCAATGTGGGCACAATATAAGCACAATCAATAACTTCCCATAAGTTAATATTTCTAGATTCAACAAATATTTTAAATTTAGAGCACCATTGAGTATAAGGAAAATTTCTATATTTTGGAGCAATATTTGGAATATAGCCTAAACGAAATACATTTATATTCATGATATATATGTGAATATATGCAAGCAAGACAAATACAATCATAACTAGATTAGCACAAATAAGATAACTTGGATCTTTAACTCAAGGTGATTAGACCTTAAATCAAAGAGCACCAAGCTCTGATACCAATTGTTAGACCCTAGAAGGGGGTGATTAGGGTCTTATGCTAATCTAATCCGATTTTATACCAATTAAATCTAATTAAAAAGTTATCCTAGCAAGTATAAAATACAACAAGATATGTGAGCTAGGATAAGCAATATGAACAATGAGATATATCATATATGATAAAAATATATGCAAGGATATTTAAACTAACACAAGGGTAAAATAAACATAAACAAGATAAGAGTGATAGTGTAAATAAACAATACAAACACACAGTATGATCACGGAGTTCGGACCTTTCGTCCTACGTCTCTGCTCCCCACTCCCGGTGAGAAATCCACTATCACAACCGGGTTTTCTACGCTTACCTGAATAACGTTTACACCACACAATATGATTTTCTAGTTTACCGAAAACTCTATAACTAACACACTCTTGTAATCCCACTCTACACCCTCTCAAGTGTTGAACTAGATGTGTTTCCTTCAAGTGCTCGGATACAACCTCTCCCTAGGTTCGTCAACCGATGCCACTTCTCTTGGGACGATCCCCGACTCTCGCCACACACTTCTCTCGGTGTATAAGTGTATTACAAATTGAATCTCACAATAAGCACAATTACAATAAATGATTGTTCTCTAATATGGATGAAAACACAATGAAAGCTCACACTCAATTGTTACAACTCTCACCAACCAAAATATATTATGTATGAAAATACAATAAGCTCAAGTGGGTGTGTGTAAACAATGAGTAAAATAAAATCTAAACTCAATATAAAAACTAGCTTTAAAGAATGATAATCAAACAAATATGCAAATGTAAAGGTAGATAAGAGTTTAGAAATGCTTCTCTGAAAAACAAGATGGAGAGATGGATTAAGATGAAGCTCAATCAATGTAGATAATCTCCTCCACTTGTGTAAAACTTCTTTACAAACAAAACTCTTTTAAACAAACACTAAATAAACTTAAACCCTTGTTAAACTCTTGTTTAAAAACTTCTTGGATTGCCATTAGAACTGAGATCAATGGGGTATTTATAGCCTCCCAAAACCTCAGCCAAAAGCCTAACAGAAATGACCAAAATACTAACAGAATCGAAAATCAAATCTGTACAAAATGAGCGTTGGAGTGAATAGCGGTCGACCATGAAAATCTCGTGGTCGACCGCGAGCCACTTTCGAAACTTGGAAAATTTTCAGAAACTTTGGCGGTCGACCGTGGGAATTTTTGAGCTGATGGTCGATCGTGACGGTCGACCATGAAAGTTTCTGCTCCCCACTCATAAAAAGACACAGGCGCGGTCGACCGTGGTGGTCGACTGTAAACAGATATAAGAAATAACAGGTTTAGAAGCAGTTTGATGATTTTGAAACCCTGTTTAAAAATATCAAATAAATTCCAAAAAATATAAAACTTTAGAAAATGATTGTCGACATGATAATACACATGTTACAAAAATTGTTTTTCAAAAAGGACCTCCCAAATAAAAAATATCATTATTTTGCAAAATAGTCCAAAACATAAAAATGTGAACATATGAAAATATATTTGTTTCATATCTAAGTAGTTAAACCAAATCACAATAATAAATATAAAATATGTAATTTCATATTTATAAACATAAAAACCAAAACTTGTGTTGTATATATATGACTATATATATACATAGAAACCAAATACGTGTGTGTATATGATATTGAGCTTAAGGTACTTAACACACATAATATAAAACATAAACTAAATTATACCCAAGCTCGATCTTGATCTTCAATAAACTCTATCTTGGTACACTCGCGGATGAAGCTTGAACTTGAATCTTTAACTTGAATTGTAAGGCTTCAACCACTATTCCACCAACCTCCATTTGATATGATCGTTATGACGTAATTCATCCATCCTCCAACATATTGTTTGCCTAGAATAAATATAAAATATAAACACTAGACAAACAATATTAGATGTAAATTATTTGTAAATCATCATCAAAACAAGAAGGCCAACAATCTCTCCTTTTTTGATGATGACAAACAAGTTATAAAAAGGATATATGCATGAAAGGAAATGAATATACAAAGTATAATATATCATGCATATAAACAAGAAAGAATATACTCATAATATTTCTCCCCATTTGACAACATCAAAAAGGGAACAAAAAGATGTAGAGAGCGAAAGCTCCCCCTATCAATATGCATGGGTGAGTATAAAAACAATAACAGAAAAGGGAAGACTCCCCCTTCAAAATGCCTTATGGGATATATGTAATAATGATCAAGACACACATATGTGAGCAAGCATAGATGAATATGCTAACTATCACTCACATATAAAAAGACAATGAGAACACATATAAATATGTCAAAATGAAAATAGTGTCTCATTAACACAAAAAAATATATAAAAGCCATATAAGAGAATAGATTTATGAAAACAAAAGAAGAGGAACATGAGAATCATGCAAAAAGTTTTCAAATGAAAACGAATCAACCAAAAAAAATCATAAATCAAAGTTTATATTCAAAAACAATGTTTGATCAATAAATAGAACTTTCTTTGTAGAACTTGATCAAACCACATATAGAATGCATTATAAGGCACACATAAATGATCCATAAGTACAAACACATAAATATCATCATATGAGTGGAGATGATTGTATCACCTCAATACCAAGCATAAAATTTGTGCTTGGTATCAAGCATACCAATATTTCTT